CTATATGCTTTAGCAAAAAGGAAAGTTTGAAGCCTAATCTTAAAATCTTAAAAGTAGAGATAGTGTAGTTTCAGATGTTTGTATTAGACTATTTCAGACAGTGAGGTAAACAAACATATGTGATCCCAGCGATGTCTTTATATACTTGATGCTTCACCAGGCGCAGCATACTGTTGATGCACAGGTCATAAGCACTGGGTGGTGCTTCTTGGTAGGCTTCTGTAAACGTCCGTAGCTTTAAATAAAGCTCCTTCAGAGGGGAAAGTTATACTAACTATTATATTAACTTTTGACTGTGCAGTTGTTAAGGATTATTTACATGAACGTCATACAGCATATCAAAGTAAAAGAGCTCTCTGTAGTTAAAGTATCCAGTCAGTGATTCCAGAACGGTCCCAATGAACGACCTAAACTACCAGTCAAAAGTTTTAGAACACCCCAATTCTTCCAGTTTCTTATTGAAAATGATGCAGTTTAATGTCTGATTGCACTCTGAAATGAAAGCATAGTACAGCTGGAGTTAAAAAAGAAATCATGAAATCAGTTTTAGACCAAAATTTATTCTAAACTTTGGCTCATCAAAGTTGACCCTTTGGCAGACATAACAGCTGAACACAGCCGTGGCTTCTGTCTACAATAGAAATCAAATATTCTCCCATATCTACTGCAGAAGTTCCCATAAATGTGGACCTTGTAGGTTGCTTTGCTTTGCTTCTGTCCAGTTCATCCCAAACCAGTTCGATGGGGTTGAAGTCTGGAGACACTGCTGGACTCTCCATGTTTTCAATCTTACCGTTTTCAAGCTTTCACGTCTTCCAAATAAAGAGAGGGGCAGAATATCCCATCGTGTTATATCTTTGTTTGTTTGTCTAATGAGCTTGTTGTAATTGGCTTCAAATAATTGCTTGGATTTTGCTGTGAGTGTAATTCCTAGATATCTAAATCCTTGTCTGGGCCAGCGGAAGGAAACCCTTTCATTCATTTGCATAGGCCAGTCCCCAGATATCATCATTGCCTCTGATTAATGTATTAATCTTGTATCCTGAGACTGAACCATACATATGTAGATTTCATAAGTGTTGGAATGTAAAGAAGTTGGTTATTCCTCCTTCCTCCTCTGTTCTTTGGAGTTGTATATTACAGCGTATTCAGCCAGGGGTTCTATACTTATCGCTAATGTTTTGTTTTGTACGCTAATGAATGTAAATGGTTTTGCTATATCACTGATGTCGTGATGTGGAACTTTAATACCATGTAATAATGTATATTGCAGTTACTGCAGACATGACTTAATGCATGCATTAACTTCAGCTATGACCGTAATAGTTCCACTTAAAGCTGACCAAGCTCAGAATGAGTCCCACAAAAATCTCTTTCTCTTTTTAGCCTTGTCCAGGTGTTCGGCCACTCAGGACGTCACAAAGGGCTGCAGTGAAACATGTCGGCCAGCGGAGGGCGCTGTGACAGCAGAGTTGGTTACTACTGCTTCCTCACCCAAGCAAGAGACCCCACTATCACCAGAATGGAGTACACTGAGGAGGAAGACGAAGGATGATGTAAGTGGTCAGTCTGCTTGCAACGTCCTGCCAACGGATTCCACAAACCGCTGCACCTTCTCACTACTTCCTCACTTTTAGAGTAACTCTTGTGCAAACTGGTTTGTGATCTAAGGAGCTTTGAAAGACAAAGAGTCGGGACGTTTCATCTCTTATCTGAGAAGCTCCTTCAGTTCTAAGAGCAGTAGGTGGAGAGTCCCAGATTTTAAGCCCTAT